TCTATATGAATTATCTGGAAAAAGAATCAGAGCCAGCCTCTCCAATCTCCAATCCTGATGGTCAGAAGAACCTTCAGGTCTCAACCCCAACTCCACCCCACTCTCCATTCCCACCACTCTCTCCCCCTGAACGCTACCCCTGCCATTACAGTCCTTTCCCTAGGGCTGGGTCTTCTGGAGGAGGGGTAGGTGTGAGTGCACCTTGTCTTCTCCCTCTAGTGTGTAGTTAGGCCCTCTTCACAAAAGCTTTTCTCTGTTCTGTACAGTTGCAACCTCTGAATATTCCTTCCAGGTATGGTCCATCTCCAAAATCTTTCCTCACTTTTGCTATCTGCTTCCCTGGCTCATCCTAGTTGGCTCTGTCCCACCTTCTCTGTGGGTCCCAGCTACAATTTGCATCTGACTGGGAATAGCAATGAGGAGTCCCTTGTGACTCTTGACAGCCCTCTAAATAGGATGCAGTTTGTTGGGGAAGGGTGTCAAATGCTCTTAAGAGACTTAACATTGCTTCTTATTAATAAAAATAAAATGTACAACCTTCTCTGAAATGCTGATCTTGCACAAACATGCACATACATGTAGCAACAGCATGAAAGGAATTGAAATATTTGACCCATCTGAAAAAGAAAGGAAAAGAAAAATCGCCCCACAGACCACCCTGTACCCTTCCTGTTGGTACCCTCAACCTATCATCAGCCCAGGCTTCTTAATTTGTTCCTGCCACCCAACTCCAGTCCATATGAATGCTGTGTTTATTTGAATGTGCACTCAACAATGGGTTCCTTTCTCTTTTTTTGTCTGTGCCAAGGACAACAAATGTAAATGGTGAGGTGTAACTGGGATTAGAGGAGCCCAAAGAAGGGTGAGCATAGCATAGCAGCATTAAGGTTAACTGCCTATAAAATAATCTCCAAACCACCAGAGAAAGGCAAGTACCTTCCAACAGCTGTGCAGGCCATAAATAAAGCTTTCCTGACTTTTATGCATGTAAAGACGCAACTGTAAATGTTACATTAACATCTTTTTGCATAACCCATAAAAGACAAGTTACTCTTCTAAGAACTTTGTTCTTTTGTGGTTTATACCTAAGGTACATGGAACCAGACTGACTTAATGTTTTGAAAGCCCTTGGAATTGAGCAATTTCTTGGAATATTGGGGTAACTGCAAAAGAAGAGGGTGGGTGGAAGACCTGGTGATTAGGTAAAGGGCCAAGAAAGAAGTTTCCCAGACACTGTTGGATGTATTCTCCACCCTACTGGAAATATCATCTCTTCCTTGAACTTGTCCGTGATATAAGCTGTTATTCTTCACAAGTAAAGTTTTAAAAGCTTACAGGCAGGGCATTGCTTAAAAGCTGAGATACGCATGACTTGTTCTCATAATATACAAATTAAAACAAGAATGAATACGCAGGAAAAGTAAAGTTGGTTTTTTGGCCAAAGTTCATGCCCACAGTCATAAAGATACAGACAGGTAGATCTGTCACTTTAATTTAAAAATGAAAATTCCTTTAGAAAATTGGCAGCTATTCAGCCCTGGCCAAATGGATTTGAAAAGACTGTGATTTCTCCTGGTGTCAACTAGCTTTAGGAGAATTTCTGCTGGCAGGCCCACTCCTGGCAGGATCTATAGTGGAGTCACCAGCAGACTGTCACTCTTGACTTTGAAAGAAGGTAGTAAAGAAGAGAATTAAAAATAATCACATCTATATACTGAGTGTTTGCTAAGTATCTAATACATATTACTTGCATTGTCTCCGTAATCTTTATGAGCTGTTATAAACCAGAGATTATAGTGTATTTGTTCTCTATTGCTGCCATAATAAATGACTACAAACTTAGCATCTTAAAACAACACATATTCATCTTATCATTCTGTAGAAGTCTGACACCGGTTTCACAGGGCTAAAATCAAGACATCAGAGGTGCTGCCTGTAATCCTCTTGGGGGCTATAAAGAATTATTTTCTTGTCTCTTTGTTGTCTAGAGACCACTCACAATCCCTGGCTGGTGCCTGCCATCATCAAAGTCAGCAAAAGTTGGTTGAGTTTTTCTCACAATACACCACTCTGGCCTTTTCTCCATCCCTCTACCATCTGTAAGGACCTTGGTGATTATACTTGGCCCAGTGAATAATTTAGGGTAGTCTTTCCAACTCAAGGCCAGCTGATTAGCAACCTTAAGCATCTGCAACCTTAATTCCCCCTTGCCATGTAAGATCACATGTTCACAGATTCCAAGAGTTCAGATGTGGACATCTTTGTGGAGAGGGGAGGATTATTCTTCTTTCACAGATAGGAAAACTGAGGAGCAGAGAAGGTTAAAAAAATCTTGCCAAGTTTTATTAGTGGGGATAAAACTGGATTTGAACCAAAGCCTGATCTGAAAATAAGAACCATTGCAAGGGGGAAGAGAGAAGAACGTTGAGGGGTAATTTTTCTACTATGGGGGAAATTGACTCTTTGTAATTGGCCTTTTGCAACTTTTGGTTATGAGTTGATTGAAAAAGGAGTGTGAATTGACAACTTGCCTTTGTTATCCATTTCTTTCATAATAATTTGCATAAATTATAATTCACCAAATTACATTGGCCTCACTCATAATACCGGTCCTTCCACTGTCATAAAACACCAAAGTATTGAGACTGACCCTGTAATAGACCACACACAGCTATAGGGACCTACTATAAAGGAGTGTGTGCATGTGTGTGTGTGTGTACACATGTGTGTGCATACTGTAACAAAACACACACACAAAAATGGAAGCTAAGCAACTAGGCTTGTTCCATATAATCTTGGTGCAAAGGATTTGAATTAAAAGATGAACAGTATAGAAAGGCAAGTCAAGCTTAATGTCAAGTAGACTTTTTCTAACAGGAAAAGCAATGTGAGCTATTCAGCAATGAGACTGCCTCAGAAACTACCAAGCAGATGCTGGAAGACCCACTGACCCCAACATTTAAAATTATTTTGTGTGTGTTCTCATTTGGATCTCTTGCCTCTTGCTCGTCTTGAAGACATATTTAAGGAGGGAATAAAAGAAAGAAGAGGTCTTTAGCAGACCTTCTGCTATTTCCTAAAACCCCTCCCTCTCCTAATCCAGTGGAATCACATTTTAAGGGGAGATTTGCAATCACCTGGTCCAACTCTCCCCCATGCACAGATTAGAAAACTGAGTTTCAAGGATGACTAAGCATCACAGAGTCACACAGCTGATTTCAGCAGAGCTGCATGTAGTATTGGGCATAGTCTTTAAAGTCGAATTTGCAGGCAAAAGCCATATGAAATTTATGCTAACATCCCCTTAGGAGGGCTCCATGCGGGATACTAATGCATACTCATTTGAAAACTCCACCACAAATATCTTTCCTTCCATTACTAGATTAGATGATTCTTTCTTCAGTACATTTTAGGGGCCCAGATAAATCAAAAATACTTATCTTCAGCCTGGGGATTTAGCTCAGTGGTTCTGCTGCCTGCCTCACAAGCACAAGGTCCCGAGTTTGATCCCTGGTACCAAAAAAAAAAAAGTCTTCAAATGTGAAAACCACATTTGGTGCAGGAAGATCTCCATACTGTCAGAGGCACTTGGGAACCGAAAGTGAGGCAGGACTGGTAAATATACATCCCAAGTTCACCCTGATATTCACATGTTAGTATCCAAAAGCAGAAAACCTCCTTTTGGGAGAAAAGTTTCCATCATTGTGTGATAGTGGAGAGGACCCTGAGGATCATGGAAAACATAAAAATCTGCCTTTTCCAACTTGCTGCTGTGGATTCTAAAGGATTGATCGATATGGATCAGTTTCTTGCCTGGCCTTAGGGACCAAAAACTTGTTCTTTTGGGAGCTATCAGGCCTGGCTCATCAGAAGGGTGAACCAGGATGGGAACAGGATATCTTTGAGCACACTGGGTACAAGATTCTCTCGTGATACAGCAGAATATCAAATTTTGCTGCTCCTTCTTGCCTTTATCAGATAATGTGGCAAATGCATGGTTTTCAAAAGGTCCCAAATCTTGAATTGTGCTGAAAGCCTCTTGAATGCAGGTAAAATTGTCAGGTCAAGAATTTGCATTTAATTTCTTTCTCTATCCCATCCTAAAAATGTTCAATCTTTATAAGAGTCTTGGCATTTTGGCATTTGTTGTGTAAGTATTCATATTCTATTGTTCTCTAGCTTTGAATGCACTTACCTCCAGGTGAAAATGAACAAGGCCTAATCTATCCAGGGGCAGAGCTACTAGGTCCACACATCCAAGTCAAAGAGGAATCCTCCAGGGACACTGACAGTATCACAAAAGCTGTATAGGAATAAAGATAGGCAGAGATCAATGTTGAGGGTCTGAAAAGGGAACTTAACAGGATCCCAAAAGGGAATTTAATGTAGGATCTTACTGGAAATCAAGGGTCATGGTGTTCCAGTGCTAAAGCTGTTGCATTAGTCACTTTCCTATCATTGGGACACAATACCTGACACACACGACTTACAGGTGGAGAGGTTTATTCTGGTTCTCAGTTTCTAATGACTTCAGTCCAAAGTTAGCTGTTGTAAGGTAGAGATGGTGGAAGGGCCTAGCAGAGCACAGCTCCCATGGAAGCCAGGAAGTAGAGAGAGAAGGAAAGAGCTAGGGACAAGAATATACTCCTCCATGTCATGTCCCCACTGACCCACCTCCAACCAGTTTCCACCTCCTAACAGCACATTCAGCTATGAACTCGTCAATGGATGAACTCATCCACTAATGAGTATACTGTATCATCCCCATGATCCAATCACCCTTCAAACACGTGAGACTTTGGGGGACATTTTAAATGTAAACCATAGCAGGTGTCATATCAGCCCAAGCAGGTTCTAGATGGAACAGAGTCACAGACACACGGAGAGACTCTTCTCTGGCAAGAGCAGAAATCGGTTGGCAATCCAGCAGGGGAAACATTGCTAGAAGGGAGAATTTCTTCTGTGCTTGGGCCTCACAATATCACTCACTTGCTCTCCAGGATTGTTACCCTGCCTGTTAATGGTGTGATACCTGAGGACAGCTGCCTCTTTCTCCACGCAGGACTGGATACAAGGATGTGCATTCACCTGGACCGGAAGCAAGGGGGTGTGGAAGTTTGGGAAGTCTACCTGGCTTTGGCTAACATCAGAGGTTATGGGCCTTGCTTTTAAAAAGATGTGAGACCTAAATAAAAAATAGAAAACAGTATGCAGTTCCATAAAAAATCCAAAGAGGAGATAATATGTGATCCAGCAATTCTACTTCTGGTTATATATCCCAAAGACCTGAAAGTAGAATCTCAAAGACATATCTGTACTCCCGTGTTCATAGGACCATTATTCATAAGTCAAGAGTGGAAGCAACTCAAATGTCTACCAACAGGTGAGTAGAGAAACAAAATGTGGAAAATATATACAATGGACTATTATTCAGCCTCAGAAAGGAAGGAGATTCTGACATAGTCCACTACATGGATGAACCCTGAAAACATGCTAAGTGAAATAAGCCAGTTGAAAAATGACAGATCTCTATAATTCCACTTAGAGGAGGCACCTAAAGTAGTCAGCTTCATAGAAACATGGTTGCCAGAAAACATGGGGAAAATAGAGAACTTTTGTTTAATGGGTACAGAATTCCAATTCTGAAAGAAAAGGTTTTTGCAGATGAGTTGCACAACAATGTATCCAACACTACTGAACTGTACCTTTAAAATGTTAAGGCAATAAATTTTGTCAGCTGTTTTTCAACAACATTTAAAATAACATTAATAAAACTTTAAAAAAACATAAAACTGAAATTGTAAAAGATGGAAAATAGCAGTAATCAAACTAACAACAACAAGCCAGGCTGAGTGGTGCATGCTCATAATGCAAGCGCTTAGGAGGAGCACAAGATAGGCCTGGGCTATATAGTAAGACCCTATCTCAAAAAGCCAAAAACAAACAACAAAGCCCAAACATAACAAAAAAACCCCGGTCTTCACAAACTTATACAATCAAGTCCTCTTTCATTTTCCTGATAGAAAAGATTTGAGAATACCAATATAGAAGGATTCCTTGGAGCCTTTGCCCTCAAAGATGGTAAGTTTATTTAGTCAGGTTATTTTGGAAGCCGGCCAGCATACAAGAATTACAGTAGTTTAGCTACCAATGTGTCTGTGCTTCCCTCAGAAAAAAAATGAATGAATGACTAAGTAAATAAAAGGTGATTCAAAACTCATTGGCCTGTGTCCAGGATGAAGCTGAGTGCTGCATGCCCACCCGGAGCTGAGCTCCACCTACACACTGCTCGGCTCTGCTCTGCTCTGCTCTGCTCGGAGCTGTCTGGGAGCTGGGGAAGCTTGGCATGGGAATGGACAGTGAGGAGTTTCCTCTTCTGCTTTTAAACTGTAGCTCCCACTTCACCAGCGCTAAGCTGACATACCTCAGCCTCGAAGGCTCCCCCTCAGAGGCTCACTGGACCCTGCTAAATGCATCTGTACTGTTCTGCGCCTACTCATCTCTCATCCTTTCTCCTGCTGATTTAAGGACTTGCTATGTCTCTTGCCCACTAGTCTACATTCCTTGACAGCAAAGTTTTTGACCAGTAAATCAATGCCTAGAATACGGTTGACGCTGAATAAAGAATGATGACATCAGTGATTGTCTCTGCATCCTCAGGGTAAGGATGACCATTTTGATTTTTTAATTTTAAAACTTTTTTTTTCTTTTTTTGGAACTGGGGATCGAACTCGGGACCTTGCGCTTGCGAGGCAGGCGCTGGAACCACTGTGCTAAATCCCTGGCCCAGGATGACCATTTTGGACAAGCACTCCTTCATACAGATTGAGTCAGGTCATACTGTGGCCTCAGTGTTGGATATGTTCAGGCTCAGAACACCTTGGAGCTCCACCTCCAGATTCCATGACTGGCCTCATTCCAATTCTTTCTTTCCCTAGATAGGTGTGTGTGGTTTCTGTTTGATTTGTTTGGATTATACATGTCCCCATTAGTCATGTGTGGGTGTCCATGCCCCATTATCTTCTGACCTGCTCAAGGATAAAGTAGCCAATGCATTCTTTACAGCTTCCCAAAGCATCAAACACTGAGATACAGAGAATTCGGGCAGTTTGCAGGTCGGACTGCAGGTTGGCGCCTCAGTAGGACCTCAGTTACTCATCATCTCCTCTTCATGAACGAGCTCATTTTTCTGAATTCTTTACGGGTAGTTGGTCATATGTCTTTGTTTCTTGAGAAAGGGTGCTTTGCTTAATGACATTATGTTAGCAGTCAAAAACTGTTTCCAGGAGCTCCCAGACAAGTGAGCAAGAGACAGGCCAAGTTATTGTGAGACAGCAGGAGAAATGGTGAAAGATGAGGATGCTCAGAAGAGCATAGGCACACTTAGTGGGTTCTAGCACAGCCAGTGAGGGACAGGGCAGGTGCCTCGGACGACATGAAACTGGAGCTATACTTTCCAAGCGAAATGGAAATATTCCCCTGCCTCTTCAGATGTAAAGGCTGTCTATGACCTGTGACCCTGGATTTCTTCATGTTTGCCCCATACTGTTCCCACCAAGAATTTAGGCATTGGCTCCTATTGATTATTTTCACAAGATATTCCAAGCATCACCCTTTTGACCTCCATTGTCATTTCCCTGTAGCAGCTGACACCCAGAGCAAGGGGCACTGCATGCCAATTTTCATCTGTTAGTGTGGCTGTCTAAATAGAGCCAAATTTTGAAAAGATTTTGAGGCTATGTCTGCAATCAACAAGAGAGAAGATTTTAATTAGTTAGAGATGTTTGTTGTGAGCTCAGGAGAGAGGAGTTGTGGTCCAGGGGCTGAGATTGTACCGTCTCTTGCCAAGGTAAATGCAACAATCTTGTTTTTATTCCTCATTCAGGGCATCCTGTATTCAGACAAAGCTAACACTTACAGCACTATTACATCTCACCTCCCAGGGAAACAAGTGATGCCCCATCGTCTATGCCAGCATCTGTAAGTCACCTTTCTCGCCACTCAGAGTGGAGCATCCAGGGCCTTCCACCTCCAGGCTCATTTGTGCCTAGAGGCTGAGCTGGTCTAGATTAAGACAGGAAGTCTATCAGCCACCTCACCCCCTCCAGATGTGGGGCCTGGAGCTTATCTTGGCCGCCCACAGACCTGGCATCTGCTCTGACTTGCAGGAACCCTGGGTGCCAAATGAGCCTGTAGGTCACATCACTTTATCTTTTCCACAGTCTCCTTCTTCGTGCACACAGGCATACTGGCCCATGGATGGGTCTGCCATAGGTTACTTGCCTGCTATTACATTTATTTATGTCTTGAACACAACATGCTTATTTGCGCTCCTAGGAATTTAAGACTTGTCAGGTTCCTTACTCCCAGACTGGGTTCTGGCCATATAAGAGCAGATTGCCCAGAATGACATTAAGGATTCCAAAAACCTTCTATTACGGGCTACATCCATCAAACTAACCCCCTTCATACTACTGGTACAGCTTGGTCCCTGCATGAGAGCGTAATGTGCCCTTGACCCCGTGTATAGGATCATTCATCTCAAATAAGTATCCAACCACTTCCCTACTCCCCTACCTCTGATTCCATGCTTTTCCCAGCAGACTCAGTAGGTCCTCTGCTTGAGCTGAGTCATTACAAAGGTATCATTTATTGAAGACTTGCTAATGTGCCAGGACCCTGAATCAATGCTTTATATACATTGTCTCACCCTGTCTTCACAGGAACCCTAGGAAGCAGGCACCATTATTATGCTCATCTTACACAAGAAGAAATCAAGGGTTAGAGAAGTGAAACAATCAGCTTGGAGGTCATGCACATAGCAAGAAGAGTTAGACTTTGAACTTAACACTTTCCAAATCTAGAGCTTGTACTCTATCACCATTGTACTTTTATCACCATTTCTGAGATCACAAAAACTAGTAACAGCCCATGGTAAAAAACATTGGCCGCAGTTATATTTGGCCACTGGAGGATTGTTTTGTGTTTTTTGCTTTTTTAATAATGGCCAATTCTTAATGATGAGAAGATGTTACACAAAATTCAGATTTGTGACTTCTCTTCAAAAACTGGAATGTCTGACAGCATAGTTTCTATATCCTACAAAGCATAAATCAAATAAGCGGAGAGCTGGCTGTCCTTTCTGCGGGGTGGGAGCACTTTGCCTCTGTCCTCACAGCCCCTCGTTGCAGTAGTTCTCTGACGTCACTCTGGATCACAACCTCCTGGAGATTGCTGGGTCCTGGCTTAGAGTTTCTGATTCAGTAGGTCTGCTTTGGGCCTGAGAACCTGGCTTATTAGAGTCTACATGTCAGTTGCTGTTTCTTACCATACCAATGCTGTCACTATTTTGACATTCAAGTCCCCCATTCCACCTTTTCCTTTCATGCTGGCAATAGGCATTTGAGAATGCATGCCAGGCATTATGTAATATTTATACCAAAGACTTTTGGATCTATCTCTCCCTAAACTCCCACTAATCGTTGGCATGAATCTTAAAGCTAATCTGGGTTTCTTATTGTTCTGACTTCTTCCAATTCTTTTAAAACATAATGTAGCTTCTTTAGTCAATTTCACGCAAGCAGTAGAAGGGTTCATTAAAGGCACCCAAGCACATGTGTAGCAGCAGCTTCTTCCCCTGAGTGGGAAGGGACCAAGAGAAAAGAGGCATGCCATACACATTGAAGACAGGGCTTCTGCTAGCATAATCCATGGCATAACTGAAAACAATAGAACTCTTGCAGCCACTTCACTTTTCTGTTCTTCAGGGGTACCTGCTGTGTAGTCTCAACAAGCTGTCTTGAAATAGACTATTCAGTCTGTTTCAGAAGAAATCTCCTTGGATACTTATCCAGGAAATAGTGCATCAAGTCAAGAACTGGTCATTAGGGTTTGTTGTCTGGGATGCCCTCTTGTGATCTCTAGGGCCCATCTTAGATGCCACTTATTCAGGATGTCCTCTTAAATTAACCTAGGCACAAATAATCCTTCTTTCCTCAGAATTAACATTATAGCAAGCCAGATATGGTGGTGCATGCCTGTAATCCTGGCACTCAGGAGGCTGAGGCAGGAGGATCGCAGTGAGTTTGAGGCCAGCCTGGGCTACATAGTGAGTTTGAGGCCAGCCTGAAATATATAACGAGACATATATAATGCTCTTTTAGGGCATGAGATGAGACCTGCATAACTTTGCAGGCTACATGATGCCCAGTTTGTAGTGTTTTGCTTTCAGGTAACACTTAGGTCAGACTCATCTTCAGATGAGTGGCAGGACTGGAACACATAGTCATAGAAGGACAAAGAGCAGAGGTGTGGAGACATGGGACTACTGGAATTCTTTGTTATTAAGGAGGGTCTATTATTTGTCCAGCACTAACTCAGACTCTCCAGAAAATGGAGGATGAAGTACTGGTCTGCCATGATAAACTTCCACAAACAACACACATGACAAAAATTAAGAGCCATTTACAATAGGGGGCACTAAACTTTGGTGGTAACTTTAGGAGAAATAAGTGCAAATTAAGGAAAAAGCATCATGAAAGTAGGCTCCAATAAGTGGAGAAGACTCCAGTATAGAGTAGGTCAGATTTTTCAAAGACATCCAAACCAGATGTTTAGCTGGGGTGATGTTCCAGTCTTCTGCTGCCAATGTCATGAAGATATTCTCCTTTGTTACTTTCTGGTTTGTTTTCCTTTCACTTCTTTGATATTGGTTGATATTTCCACTATGGCCCAGCAGAATTTTCTGTATTTACTTAACAAGTGCAGAATGCTGCAATTGTGAGGCACAGGGTTTTATCTATTTCTGCTTTTAATTCTTTCAGTTCTCCACATATACAATATATTGTGAGATGACACAATTCTGTCTAACACTTCTCCCTTTAAAGCCTATTTTATCTGGTATAATTATAGCTACTCATTTATTTGGTTGGTATTAGTTTATCTTTTCCTTTTCATTCCCTTTTGATATTTCTCTGTCCTTAAAAACTATGTCTTGCAAGCAAAATTTAATTGCATTTTTAATCCATAATCATTGTCAATTAATTGGAGTGTTTAGTCATTAAATTCAATGTAATTATTAATATATTTTTATAAATTAACTACCATGCCCTATTTGTCCAATCATATCTTATTCCTTTTAAATTTATCATTTTCATTCTTCTATTTTTGTTCTTCATTATTTTGTGGTTACACATTACTTTTTTTTAGTTATTTCCCTAGAAATAATAGCAAGTTTTCTTTAATCATTTCAGAGTAATATAAACTAGTATTTTTAGTACTTCCTGGACAATGTAAGGACCTTCTAACACAATAGCTCTGTTTATTCATTTTTCTACTTTTTGCACTATTTTTTTTGCCATGTATTTTAATTCTACACAATGGAAACCACACAAAATACTATTTTTGTTGATTTAGTCAATATTCATTTAGATTTACTTACATTTTTACCTTTTAGAATGCTCTTCATTTCTTCACTTTTCATATCATCATTCTTCCATCTTAAATAATTTCCTTCTGCTTAGAAAAAAAACTCCAGTGTGTGTGTGTGTCTGTGTGT